ACTCTTTTATAACGTAATGAGAAGTTTAGTTTTATCTAACAAAATTGAAAAGGGATATGGAAATGCAATCGGCGGACGAAATTATTGCTTTAATAATAAATATATCCGGAAGAAATAAACCATAAAAACTGAGCTGATAAACTTTTAAACTCCGTAAAAACATTTTAAAAATGCATTTACGGAAATATAAAGCCTGTAAGACATGCTAACGCCAATTAGTAAAGGTTGCTGAAATTGTTAACTAATGTAACGGCTATCTTCTTCGGCTAGCTTAGGGCCATTTGAATGCAACTTATAGTGTGTTTTGGGCAATGATTATAAATTCATGTTTGTTTTGTTTAGCTATAATTGTAAAAATAAAATTGTGGGCCGCAAAATTTATTGAGGAGATATTAAGGCTACCAACGAATTATTTATTTTTATTATTATAGTCAGATCTAAATAAAAAAAAAACATATTTTCAGATTTTTAGTGAATTGTTATTTTAAACTTTGTAAAAGTATCATTAAAATGTTTTTTCTTATTACAAGTTAAAACAATTATATAATTAGATGAAATAAGTAGAATTAGTTGTGCATTGATGTTTTATTTAAAATAAAAACGTATAGAACTGAAGGTAAATTTGAACATGAAGGTAACACTGCATATATCACTCCCTTATCAACCTTGGTTTTAGTACCTTCTTTTTCTCGTCCCGGGGAGGAAAGGGGGGTGGGGGAGCTCTAGTAGGATCGGTGAATGAGTTGTTTGAACACATGGGTAAGAGGTTTAGGTGAGCGAAGTAAATAGAAAGTACGCGTGGAGTGTTGACCGGAGTGTTGACCATGTCCACAACTCTACTCCACCAACACGCCTACAACGTCAAGACGGCCGGTGGCTTTCTGGCGTCGGGAGTAGCGCCTTCAGGGTCGACGTGAGACCACGCTTAATGGGATGACATTCAAGATCTATGTGAAAGATAATTCAATACATATTTTGATTAGAGCTACATATACAAAAATTGTTAGAGTAATCCCCCCCCCTGTGAAAAAAGTTTGAGAATAGCCGTTTATATAAGGTGAGTTAAACGGTAACATATGTATGTCCTAATAACACCCTTGCCACGTAGTATATGCGCGATGCTGTTTACATGAAGAAGGTGGGGGGGGGGGGTTGGGGGGTTGTAAGATGAATGGTCTATAGCTTATGTCAGTTGTATGAGTGTCAGGAGGCGGCTGTCGTTCAAATAAAGTAATGGGTCACTTTTTCACTGACTGAGATAATAAAACGTTCACAATTTCGGCACTTAAATTGGAACTGTTCTTCCGTCCAGAGGCGTAGCGACCCTTTCCGGCGCCCGGGGACAAATTTTCAATTAGGCGTCCCCCTCGGGAACAAACTTTCAATTTGCATCCCCCCTCAAACTTTCCATTTGCACCCCCCCCCCCCCCCACCCCCCATATATTTTTTATATTTATAATGACAAACTGCACCTAAAATGAGATTTTAATTTGTTTTTCCAACCCATTTTGGCGCCCCCTAAGGTCGGCGCCTGGGGACATATGTACCCCAGCCCCCCCCCCCCCCCCTTCGCTACGCCTCTGCTTCCGTCTAGCTTAGAAAGTGTTGCTCATTTACGCTTTTATAAACTTTCTGTATTTACAAGAAGTAAATTTCCCTTGTAGTCTGGAAGTCAGGGCCAAAAAAGTCTCAAGTACAGGGTCAATTTGTTTTGAAGTTACGGGTGCGAATTGTCTTGAAGCCATGTTAACAAAAGGGTCAAAGATTCTTATCACAGTTCCGTTTGACTCGTAAAGTAAATGTTATACCCCTCATAATATATGAAACGAAGTAAATGGGAAACTGCGATTGTTGACGGCCATTTCTTCAAAATAAATCTGTACCACATTATGTATTATAATTACCCTTATTTATGTTAATGAAAATAAAACCCCCAACTAAAACTAGTCAGGAGAAATCAACAACTCGCCCAGAGTTGAAAACAATTCATTAGAATATGTTTTCCTGCGAGCTAGGGAACGCGTGTTACTTTAGTGATACACATAGTCGATCATCTTGCCCGGTCCCCGTCTGTAGAGTACAGGACATTCAGTCGTGGTAAAAGGTCGTTAGTGACTTACTAATGACTCGGTCAATATTTGTGTAGGTAAGCGTGACGCTGACCAGTCGATTCAATGCTGCTATTGAAACGAAATACGTTGTTGACATACACGTGTAATTACGTATTGTATGTGAGTGTTATGACGTCACGCTTACAATTTTGAATGTGCGTATTTGTTGTTTGGTTGGATCTTGCGCGTATGTATATGTGTACACAGAGTAAATTTGTTTCTTTTTAATAAAATGGTATTTAAAAAAATATTCATGTCTTTGAATGTCTTTGTTAGGTGTGCATAAATGGAGAAAAGATGATTGTAATTAGTCTAGATGAGTAAGACATTGGAGGGGGTGGCGTTCCGTGTTTATGGTTCTGAAGGGAAAGGGCATTAACTGTCCTACAATTAGTATTAGTTTGATTATTGATTATTTTGATTCTTTTATCTACATTTTTTTAATATGCAAGTGGGTGACCAGCTTATTCCATATAAGAACTCTGTTTGAGTAGCCTTGTAGAAGTGACGCTATTGTCTAGAATTATGCCTGAAGTGTCCACATACTTTTCTCGCACTAAGGCCCACATTTTCTCCTCGCGACCCTGGCGTAGTGTGCTACAGCCTACAGTTGTTGTTTCTTATGTTTGTGTTTATGGAGGGAACGTCTTAAATCTACATCCTGTTTCTCTAGTTAAGCCTCGATAACTATCCGACGTAAAATACAGCTTTAATTGCTGCAGCCAGTGCCCTGTTAACATGTAGCTGCTAATTATGACTCAAGTATGTATGAGTAAACATACACATTGTGTTTAGATCCCGGATGTATAACCACTTTACTTTCCTTTTGCTGTACATGTTTTTTTTTTAAATATACAGTGTTTTTATACTTAAATATTATCCACAAAGTCATGACTATTTTTAAAACAAAAAAAATCTTTTTTTTTTAAATTAGAAATCATGTTTTTGATGTGTTTTTAATTTCTCGTGTATGTAGTATAGAGGAACTATTTTATTTCAAGATCAAAATAATTTGATGTTTTTAAATTTCTGACCTTTTAAAAAAAGAATGGAAAAATTAAGAGTATTTTACAATTAAAGCTTATGTGTTATGCAATCGACACAAGCAACGCAGCATTTCCAAAAGTGATCTAAAGCTTTTTGATAGGCCACTTGATTAAGATCACTAACTTCAACAAACGTAAGCGTGTTTTATCAGCGCTGTGCCATCTCCCTCCCACCGACATGTTGTATTTAATCTCTCCACTAAAGCACAAGTGTAGATCTTGCAACCCTCTTCTATTGTGCCCGTGTTTATCAGTTCTCTAACGTCTATCTACCTAACCCTTGTACGCCGTGTTGGTCGTGTTTTGAAGGCCGCACTTGCTTATCAGCCGTACGGATTGGTGTTACCCAACTCAGTAGCAGAGTTTATCTTGTCAGAGGCGTAGCTACTTTATCCGGCACCGGGGGTGCATTGGTGATTTTGTCCCACCACCCCTCGTACCAGTGGGTCTATACCAGTTGGTCTATTAACATATACCTATGGATATATTATGGAGGTTCCTTGATTATTGTGCCCTCCCCCAATCCAGTATATCTATACATATATTATGGAGGATCCTTGATTATTGTGCCCTCCTCCAATCCAGTATATCTATACATATATTAAGGAGGATCCTTGATTATTGTGCTCTCCCCCAATCCCTATATTATGGAGGATCCTTGATTATTGTGCTCTCCTCCAATCCAGTATATCTATACTTATATTGCACACCAATCAAGGATTCGCCATAATACATATATAGCAAGTATACATACGTATTCTCATTTAAAAGTTTCTAGTAAAATAAAAGTCGACATAGGCGGACTGTCCTACTGTTTTATCATGGTACAGCGCTGAAGATTTTATTTAAAATATGTTTCGAGATTGTCTTAATCTTTTACGTGTAAAAAAAATTGACTCGATCGATCGCTGAATGATCTTTCACTAATCTCCAAGTTATTTCTTTTGTTTCTACCTCCACATGGAGGGGAATTATTTCGGTGTTGTAGTCGGTGAGGTCTTACCTCCCCTGCTAGGCTTATGTCCCCTACCAGGAAACTTCCTTTAAAAAACTATGAATACACGAGGGCGGGTGGTTGTCGGGCGGGGGATGAGACAAATTTAGTTATGGAAAATTCCCATTTTGCTTAAAATACGTTTAAATTAAAGGAGAAAATAGGTGAAGGGGGAGGTAGGTTTTAGCCCGGTGCAATGTCCCATGACGCATATGTATCCCGCTGCAGGGGGGCTGGGGCGGCGTAGACCAGGTCCTACTAGGTTCTTCCACGCCAGGTAATTGAATGAACCCACCTTGCGCCCAGTTTTCTAGAGCATATCTGCGGCCGGCGGTATTTGCCTAATGGGCCACGGATCGCACGGTGGCTCTGAGAGTGCCGCCATCACAACACGGTGTATGGGACGGGGGACGGTATGTTTACATGCCTCGTACTCGGATCCTGTTGGTGGCAAGTGGTCGGATATATCTGTTGACACCGTGCGGTAGTCGGATAGTTTAGTATATGCGGTGCTGTGCTAGCAGTCGGAGCTTTAGTGTACACTGTGTGGTAGTTAGATATTTGTTATTGTAGATTGCAACTTGTTGCAGTAGGATATGTTAGTGAAGTAGTCGGATTTGTTTTATACACTGTGTGATATTCGGATATGCAAGTATTAAATTAAACGTGTTATTATGTTTGCACCGTGCAGAAGTTAGATTTTTTAAATATATAGTATAGTAATCGTATCTGTTATATACACTGTGGTAGTCGGATATGCGAGTATTCACCGTGTTGTAATCGGATATTATGCTGGTAGATGTTGGATTTGTTGATAAGATTTCTGCTGCACACATCACTGTATAAGTTGTTGTTATCGACTCCTGTGTTAAGATGCACCCCGTGCTTCTAATTGTGTTATTTCTGTGCACGGATTTGTGACAAGTAGTGTAACTGTAAGCAATTAATGAGACTTACTTCAATCTTTGTCGTCAATACATTGTTGGTAGTTGGCTCAAGTTAGATGTTTGTTTACGCTTATTAAGAGTTAATCATTCGATTCCTTGTTGCGGGCTGATTGGAATTTTTCTTTTTGTTATACTTTTTAAATTTAAAATTGGATACAGTATACTCTGTGCTTATGTTTACTTTTATTTGTGTCGTGACACATTAAAAAGCAAATGAAAGCTTTATAAAAATCTAACGTTGGTACGACATAGACTTGCTAAGCTATGCGTCTCCTATCAGCTCCACTGATTAAACTATTGATCTGTTGTTGATTCACTGAAAGAACAGGACGCCGTATTCATAGTATTTTTGTATACGTTAACTTGGACTTTCAAGACTTTTATTCAAGTCTCTTATTACGCTCTATACATCTTTCAAAACTTTGTTTTATTACTTTAAAGTATGTTCAACGTAACTAGACAGTAAGGTTGATATAAATGGGAAAGACTTTCATATCGCGGGGTTTGCAATATGAAGTGGCTTAGTATAGTTGATAATGCACTGGCTAGTGACTATGTTGTGCCGAGTTTGTCTGTAGACAAGACTTGTTTTGTGGATGGTTATGTCAAAAAAAAATATTTGATTCAGTTGTTGATTTACCTTAAGTGCGGAGAAGTGGTTACATCTTGTTTTTTGTTTTCATGCACGGATATGATAAACTAATAAGTTTATCAGGTCCTAGATCTACCCCTGTCATGTGGCTGAACTGTATTGACGGGGTCTTTAAAACACACTTGCTCTAACTCTTGTTGGCAGTGATTGTCTTGTGAATGGCTTGTTGAAATTTGCTAGTTTTTAATACTGACGTCCCTCCCATGTATGAAAATTGTAATAGTAAAAAAAAAACCAAAGCGTTTCGACCTAATGGCTTCATTGGTTTTTAACTGCGGTGATGCTAATAAAATAACAAAACAACTTACACTCACTTGCATAATGAAATAAAAGAAGAGAGTAGCGGCTGGTCTAATAAGCTTTACGTTGATTTTTATTGTTTTAACATGGTGATGGTGGGGGGAGTTCCGGGTTCGAGTCATTGAGAGACAAGCGTTTTTTCTGACAGCAATATATCTCGTGCGTCGTGCTTTATGTCACTTGGGAGAGGGGGAGTCAACTTGAGTCTGATTTTTTAAAATCCTGTCTTATACCAGCTATAGCACACATTCTGAAAGTTCCGGATGCAACGTAGCGCATTTATTTGATACATTATTCAACAATTTATAACACCCAAGCATTCATTGTGTGTGTCTCGAGTAATGTGTACATTGATCCATGATGGGGTAGGATTGTATTACCATAAGGACTACTTTATCACAGATGTTTGCGGTTGTTATTTTTTTTTATGGTTATCGGAATCAACTAACCGCCATCATCTCAGAGGCTAGTAGGTTTCCAAACACCTATCTTTCTTTCTATATTGGTGTTTCAATGGTGACGTGTGAAATTTGTCATCACCGCGAGTGTATCACAATGGAGGCTACTGAACTACGCTTCGTAGGCGTCGTTAGAGCACTTTGGCACAAGAGAGCTGGCATTCGATGAAAACTGACACCTTCGTATTGAAGACATACCCCAAGTTTACGGTCTGGTGAACTTCTACGTAAAAAAATTCCACCGGGTTTTGATTGCATGGTTAGCCGAGGTTTTAAATTCTTAGAAGCATTCCCTGATGTGTAGATGAGATTTTGGTTGGGGGTGGGGGAGGGGCTCAAAACACTGCCGTAGTTTTATTCTTTTTTTTTCGTGAAGATCTTTGTAAAATATGGGCGTCAGTTGTTCAGATTTTTATCGTGCGATAACTAGGGCGAGATCTTGGTGAAGTTGATGACAAGACGTCAACGGACATAAGACGCTGTTTGGTTTTTAGCTTTAGTGCTTACACACGACGCTAAAATTAGATTCATTAGCTCTGGTGGCATGTATTTATTTATTTCATTACAGCTTTTTAAAATTAATTAATATATTTATAGTTTTGTGTAGAGTATAGGCTTTGTGGATTGTTGTCGCTTAGTTTAAAAAAAATCAACAAGGAAGAAATACATTACATTAAAGAAATATTTTTAAATACTTTGGATTAAATCGATCACAACCGATTTCCTTAATTTCCGGACGGAAGTCGAATACGGAACTTTGTAATAAAGAGGGAGAAACAGAATGGAATACTTTTTTAAAAATCCTCGCTAATTAGTTAGTTTGACCTGATGAACGAAACTAACGTGAAAGAATTTTCATTCTTGGCGGAAGTCAGGAGATTACTGCCATAGCTCTATGCAAATGTTACGAGATTCTTTCACGGTTTCAACACAACTTTTGACAATTTACTCCTTCCCCCCCCCCCCCCCCCCATCACCGCCCAGCAGCTCGCTGTAAAACTATTTATAGTCAAGTTTCTAAACTACATGAACCTGTAAATGTAAAAAAAGATGGCCCTCAAATAGGAGCAGAGTAAACTCAATATCTTACTTCCCGTTTTATGTTTTCCTTGAACACTTACTTACTGTCTGTGGCGTTATTTAGCCTCGTCGTCTATCTATCGATCTATCTTTAGACTGGGCACTCTTCTATTTTGTTCCTTCAAGTTCATTTTCTCGGAATTCAAGTGCACTACATAAGTTGTTCAGATCTAAATTTATACTTCTAAAAATCAAGCTTAAAGTTATGTGTTGTTTTTTTTTGTGTGTGTTATTTTCTGTCGAGTGTTTAAACAAGTGTATACAAAGTTAGATCCGAGCTGATATTCTAACTTCAACATTTGAATCTGGTTTACAACGTGTGTATTTTCAGCTCCTATCTAGTTTGTTCACCACGGATTGCAAATGTTCATGCTTAAAATATCCCCGTGTATCAACTCATGCTAAATACGGAGGTCGTTTTTAACCCCGTTTCTCAACAAAACCACGCCCCCGTCAACATTTGAACCGTTATCGCTTATCTAAGCTAGTTATAGTCATACTAATGTATTTTTAGGCCAAAGTCACGTTAATTTGTCACTGTTTATATACCCCACCGGTCTCAGCGCCCTCCATTTTCCCCCCTTTTATTTGTGTTGTACAGTAAAGAAAGAGAGCGCTATTTATCTTGAGGCCAACTTTGTTTGTGCCGATTGTTGGTTTAGTGTGAAATATAAGCATTGAGGATTCCTTGCGGCGAATACAAGGACTTGAGGGGGGGGGGGGGCGTTTAGTTTTGACAATGGCCGGTAGATCCATGCTTGTGTAAGCAGTAGGCTAGCCTAATGGATGTCTATTCTACTGGAGTAACGCCCGCAGACGTCGATGAAGGGTGGGTTTGAACTCGGGCTGTCTTGAGCGTGGGACGCTTGCAATGGCGTTATCTTTGCGTTTCGAAATGGTGTGTGGGAATAGTTTGGTTTGGGCGTAGAGGAATGCCTCGAGATAAACCTTATCTCTTCAGTAGTGACTTTGACGAATATGACAGAAAGATATTAAAAAAAAACATGATATCAGTGTCAGAATATGAGCAAAATTCGACACACCCGACCAGTGGCTATAAAGAAAGGATGACGCCCACGACATAATACTATCAAAAACTTACACCCAGGACATATTTATCTAAAAAAAAATTGTAGGCGATTTTATTACAATTTCGACAATAGTAGACAGAGTCTGAATGACATAAAGTAATAGAACATGAATGACAAGGTATATAGTGGCAAAACCGTGAGCCCATGAAATATCAATTATTGGTAGCTGCAGGTCGATCTAACGTGGGTGTTTATCAGGGGTATCTCACTGGCCCTCCACCACGTGGTTTCTTTCCAGCGTTTTCATTGGTTCTTTCCGGTGAATGAACTGTAGCTACCTGGCGAGGAGCTCAGTAGTACAAATGGGCGATTCAGTGGTACAGTCATATTGATACAATACATTGGTGTGTTGAGATAAACTAGATCTAGCTACTGCTGTTTTATGAGCACAGAGATGAAGGATTATTTATTGCGTTTAATGTCTTTATGCATCACAAAGTGTATTTTGTTGTTGGTATTGATCGTGGATTAGTTACGTCAAATCCTTAAAGCTGAACCACTCTAAAGAAAGCGTGTAGTCTAGTCATTAGATGATGTGTTCAATATTTGAATATTGTGTTCGATGTCTTTGGCGTTTCACATTTTATATCTTTTAACGTATCTAATTCATTAGTCTTTAGAGCTGAATGGTTTATTTCCTGTTTTCTTCATCAAGCCATTCAATCGCATGCGTCGTCGCTATCCGGCTGTCGTCATAGAATAGTTAGACGTTTTGTGCGTTCTCCGATTGGCTTAGTTACTTCTTTGTAGTTTCAAACGCCTTTAATTTCGATTGAAGGGATTAAGTTTGTGTGAAGATACTATTACATTTGTAATTTGATGAAGTGCGAACTTTTATCGTAATATTCTTCGAGATTTTTTTTTTTTAATTTACTCTAATTTTTTTTTTTAATTTTAAGATAGCATTGCTTATTAGATAAACACTGTTGACGATAATTGTTTGAGATACATTTTGGAGAACTTGTCCTAGAATTGGCCGACCCGATACCATGTCGAGGTCAAGAGGCCAGTAGTGTAGGCCGGTCTACTGATAGGCACGTGAAGTTTGTGTTTCGTCATGGACGGATTAAAAAACTGGACGGGGTGTTACGCAAGTGACTTGTGACTCTGGGCCCGTTCCGTTCTTTGAGTACTTGGGCTCGTCCCATTGGATTGATATACTGTGTTAACTGGATTAGTCAATTCTGACTGGATTATTGGATTAGCCAGCTCTGAGAGGACCGCTGATCACAACCATGGGGACGTGGTTGAAACGGAGTACGTCAAAAAAATACGTCTTCAATGTAAGTAGCCGGCGTTAAGTTAGTCAATCGTGAGATTGTTTTTTTTTGTCGTGTGGTGTGGTGTGTGGCTTAAATGTAGGTGATTTATTTAAATCTTTAGCTTAGTAGAATGCAGGTGCGAAATACGTTTTTAATGCAAGTAGCAGTTGTTAACTGGACAATATGGTGTGATTGTTTTTTGTGATGTGGCGTGGGCCTTGAATGTAGGTGCTTTATTTAAATCTTTAGCTTAGTAGAATGCGGGTGCGAAATACGTTTTTTAATGCAAGTAGCAGTTGTTAACTGGACAATATGGTGTGATTGTTTTTTGTGATGTGGTGTGGGCCTTGAATGTAGGTGCTTTATTTAAATCTTTAGCTTAGTAGAATGCAGGTGCGAAATACGTTTTTTAATGCAAGTAGCAGTTGTTAACTGGACAATATGGTGTGATTGTTTTTGTGTGATGTGGCGTGGGCCTTGATTGTAGGTGCTTTATTTAAATCTTTAGGTTAGTAGAATACAGATGGGAAATACGTTTTTAATGCAAGTAGCCAGTGTTAAACAGGCGTGGGTTTTTTTTTGGTGTGATGTGTGACCTGAATATAGGTACCTATTAGAAGTTTTAGTACAATACTGTTGTGCCCTGAATGTAGGTGCCTAATTTAAGTAATTTTAGCTTAATGGAATACAGGCGGGGAAATAAGTCTTCATTGTAAGTAGCCGGTGTTAAACGGACGTCTTTTTGTGTGTTTTGTGTGCCCTGAATATGGGTAGCTAATTTACGTTTTAGTTCAGTACAGTAGTGTGTGAGTATATGCATGTGTTTAATGCTAGTTACAGCTTAGGCCAGGTATAAATATGTTGTTTGAACTTGAAAATAAAATAAGTTTACCTCTGTATTTTTCTTAGCTGAAGTATATTCTACATCAATAGATTTATATTAATATGTACCAACTCGTCTACTCTTTACTGGCCTAGTGTTTTCTTCCCATATAAAACAGAGGTCGCGGCCAACTTTTCATCACATCAATATTGACCCATATATTTACTAGTTACCTGTTGTAAAACCAACCAAAGACGTGATCACCCCCCCCCCCCCCCCCCAGTTTATAAACATTGTGTTGGACTTCCAGGTATGGTGTCCTAGAGTACAGTGGACAAAAAAAAGCCTACTCAAATATTTTCTTACGCTAACACAAGGCCGTACTTCTTCCTATTTGCTTTACAACTGAGATTAGATTTTGTTGAACAGTAGGTCTCACAATTTGGTCGAATGGTCCACTTACTGACTGTTGTTGACAATTTGCTTTACATCTGAGAGTAGATTTTGTGGAACAGTGGGTCTCACAATTTGGTCCAATGGTCCACTTACTGACTGTTTGTATAGATTCTGTGCATGCTGTTGACAATTTTCTTTACATCGAGGTCTAGTGAACAGGTCTTGTAGAGAAGGGAGGGGGTAGGGGTATAAACGTCTAGCGGCTAACTTGTCTCTTGCTAACCCCCCTCTCCCCCTTCCTCCACTTGCCGAAAACTATTTTAATTATGTTTTTGTTTCATGAATGGCCATGGTGGGTGATCAATCTAGATCGGGATATTTCCGCGTTGTTTTCATAATCCGCCCCCCCCCCCTCCACCTCCCACTCCTTTATACAACTTCTATCAGGTAGTGTTTGCAAAACCTTTTAAAGTATAAAGGTTAAAATCACCGCAAATATTAACAAACCCCTAAAAGCAAACAAATGATTTTGTTTATACTTCTTGGTTTTTTTTTAAAAATGAAATCAAAAGCATCAATTGTTAGGTTGTCTTGACATTGATAGCTAGATCTTATATAAATAAAAAACTTTTTTTTTAAAACTACTTATGATAAAAATATTTTTCGACACACCAAATTAAGCTTCCTTGTTACAATTTTTCTGAAGATCAACTTTCCAAACAGAAAGTTTGAATAACTTTCTTAACACCACATTTTTCAGGTAGCGATATCAACAGCCCTTTTACTTTTGTATTACAACTTGTATACCTAGACAGTAATCTCAGTCACTGTCACGATTTCTTTATCCTTCGTTCATTAGACCCCCCCCCCCCCCCCCCCCACACACACACACCAGATAACAAACGGAATGTGTACACGTGTGTGTACGCGGTATCGGTGAACTAGTTTGTCTCGATACGTGTACACACATAATTACCCTAAGACAAAGGAAACACATTTCTTGTTAAAAGTTGTTATCACATCAGTAATGAGTAAAACAAACGGTCACGATTCAGATAGCGAAACAATGTAACTAAAACGAGAACATTCCACCAAGTACTACAGGTCATGACCTGTAATTAATTATCTTAATCATATCCAGCCTTTCATTAGGATTTTTTTTAAATGCCTGGGAACATTCTTAGCATATTTTTCAGGCGCTATTAAAATCCGAAGTCACTAAATGTAGATTAAAAGATTTATTTTTAAATGCTCTTATCTTAAAGGAGCAGTTTTTTTTTCGTGCAACGGAATTTAATTAACGTGTTCATATATAGGGTTATGTAAAAAACAATTAATGATAGGGAATGAAAGTAGTTCATACCTTAGTTAAGGTTGGTTAGGCTTTATGTGTGTGTGGGTGGGGGGGGGGGGGGGAGGGTTGGTCTATTCTACCCCACACCGCGAAGCAGGTCCTGATTTTCTTTATACTTGTATAAATTGAAGGGCTAGTGCGGCTAAAATCGAGAGTCCAGTGTTATAAGACTTAATTGAGGTCAACCAAAAGCAGAGTCAGCTGTGGGGGGTCCGTAATATGTAGTGTGACAACGCCCCAAACACACAAAAAATTCTTGTCCAACGGTGAAAGTCCAATCGCCACATTAGCATTGAAATGTGTGTTAGCCCACAGTGAAAGTCCAATCGCCACATTAGCATTGAAATATGTGTTAGCCTTTACCACACATTTCTATAAGGACAAGCTGGCCTGATAGTGATACATTCTTTCCTAGGTCAACAACCTTTTGTTGCTTTATGAGTGAAGAGACATGTTGTAAATCGTTTATGCTTTACTCTTATCTAAGGAGCGGCATTGGTGTATATATATAGGGACGTCGTGGTCGAACATTGGTATCGAGTTCTGATCTTTGAGTCCACCTAAACTCACGTCGTATAAAGTAAAGGCGGCTGAGCAAAGCGCTGACCACACCACCCTTTTAAGAAACACGAACTTCATCTGCCCTATGGATCGCTAGGTCTGAAATGGGAGGTTTACTGGTAGAGATGGGTTGTGTAGAACTGCAGAAGTTCTTGTAGAAACTGTAACAAGAATACAACTAATTATAAATGTATATTTTAAGCTTAACATAACGTGTTTAAAACTTTTGAAAAGAGCTACATGTTATCATTAAAAGTTCCGTCTGTAGCAGCCCAAGTTTGTCTAGTTAGAGGATAAATTAATATTAGAGTATGGATCACGGTGTGCTGGTTATGCTAAACTTGCTTTTCTTGCATTATTGATGCGGCCAAACATACTCTACAGCTCTGCGTAGACGGATATCTCCAATATTTAGCAATAGGGTAGACTTAGTATATTATTTCGGTTCGTGGATTCGGACATTTTTACTCGCATGAATCTGGATAGCAGATGTTTGATATATCTGATTATATAACTGTCTAGACAAGGACTCAACAGCTTGTTACACATACATGTTATGAATCATTCTTTATACAAAATGAATTTAAACAACCCGATTGAAACTTGAATTTTAATTCTGAAATTATTTTTTAAAGATATTTACTGAAAATAAGTGTTTTAGACACATTATATACCCCCCCCCCCCACGCCACCCACACGCTGACCAACATATTGTTATGTATTGATGAAAATCCATATTTATATATTACAAACAATAGACAAAAGGTCTGGAATCTAGACCGCCCCCCCCCCCCCCCGCCTCTCCTGACCAACACATTACTATGTATTGATGAAAATCTGTATTTATGTATCACAAACTACAGACAAAAGGTCTCGAGTCTAGACTGTCTAATAAGACCCGCTGGACGTTGGGACCTGTGTGAAAACAATGCGGTGAAGTCGACAATGGTGGAAGATTAGCACCGCCATGTGAGTTTTTTTTTAAACGCCAGCTGACATTTCCACTCGCGCCACATCCACTACATATTCCGATCGCTCCCGTTTTATTTTTGTTGTGTTGTGTTTGGGGATTTAGTGTAACCTTTTTGCAGATGCGAGTGTTGAGTGTACTAATTACCGCCAACAAACATACCAGGGGTGTCTGAACCTCTAGCCTTTAGGTGAATGTCACGTGTTTAGGGCGCCCAACTGGCTGTCTCAATGTATAATGTCCCCTTATTTAAGTACTGCCGTAGTTGATTATGTCCCTTTCTTAATGGCTGCTTCAGTGTATAATATCACATTGTTAAGGGCGTCTGTTTTCAATGGGCTGCCTCAGCGTATAATATCCCACTTTTTTAGGGCGCCAGTCATCAATGGGCCGCATCAGTGTATATTGTCCCCCTCTATAAGACTGTCTCTGTTTAAAATATGACACTCTTTACGGCTGTCTCGCTAATTATATTGTCACATTTTTAAGGGTTATCCCAGTTTAATTATGTCACCTTTTTGCCACAGTTAATATCACCATCTTTGGGGCGCCCAGCTGTACTGATTTGCCTGAGGTTTAGTAATGTGCCCTTCTTTAGGGCACCTAGTGTAGTGGTATGCCACATAAAACAACCCAACCAACTAACGTTACTACTTGTCCTGAGAAACCGACCCACACACCAACTTATACACTCACACACCCACCTACACACCCACCTACACACCCACTCACACACCCACCTACACACCCACCTACACACCCACTCACACAACCACTCACACCCACTCATACACTCACCCACTCACCCACTCACACATCTACCCACCCACTCACACACCTACACACTCACCCACTCACACACCTACACACTCACCCACTCACCCACTCACACACTCACCCACCTACACACCCACTCA